GGCGGGACGTCCAGGTTGGACGCCGCCAATGGCCTGGAATCGGGCGATATCGAGCGATCTGCGCGATCTGGCAGCGCGCGCGCACCTGCTGCTCCTGCTGCTGCTGTTCACAGGCTGCATGGCCTCGCTGTTGTTTCTATTCATCAAGCCCCCTTGTGCACCAGGGACAAGGTAACCCACTGCCAGCAGCCAGGGGGGGGGCTGTCCCACCTTTTCGAGCTGGTGGCGCATCGTCCTGCCTCCAGAGAGGTTCCTGGGAGGAGGTGCCACCAGCTCGAGGGGAGGGAGCGCCCACCCCCCTCGTCTGGTGGCAGTGGTACTGTTGTCTCTCCTGACTTGTGTGACATGTTCCCCCCTCTTCCGCCGCCTCTGGAAGAGTTGCTTCAAGGGCATCCCAGCTTGCCGCCCGCTCCCCCGACACATCCGGCACTTCCGCTCCGTTTCCTGACTACCTCGCAGCTGCCGCCATGGCTGCCGCGTCGCCCCTCCTACCACTTGCGACGTTGGTGTGCCAGTCGACGGAGGTGGCGCCACGGACCTCGGCTACCACCAGGCCGTCGAGTACCTCCTCGGCCCCGACCACGACCACCACGTCAACGCCCTCACCCAGCCGGCGGAGGACCAGGACTACGGCAACAGGACCACGGACCTTGAGTACGACAAGAGCAACAGAGCTGTCCAGACTCAGGACGAGGAGGATCACGAAGGGGTTCAAGATGAGAACCAGGCCGAGGACTCTGAGGATTAGCAGGAGAAAGAGGAGGAACCAGATGAGCACCAGGAAGCGGAGGAAGACAAGGACGACGAGGAGGCGGTGCACGAGGAAGGCCAAGATCTTTGGGATCTCTTCTGACAGGCGCCTACACAGGTGACATTTCGTCTCGAGCTCGACTACCTACGTCTCCAGCTGCGTTCACGACCACGTTGACTACGTCGACAACGACGACTCTGGGGACTCCAGCGGCCACGTCCTCCACGACGACCTCGCCGACACCTTCGGCCACGACCACGTCGACTGCGACGACCGCGTCGACCACGACGACCACGACGATTACGCCCGCGCTGGGCTGGACGCTCAATTTCGACGGCAACGCTCCCGACGCACCGACCAAAGGTTTCTACTCCGACACCAGCTTGGGGATCGTCGACTCGCTCGGTCATGTTGCTCGGGCTTGGGGCCGCGATCTGATCTTTACCTGTTGTGGTGCAACATCGAGATCGCTGCTTTTACGGACGGCAGCATACGGCATCGGCCACTTGGAAAGGTGCTCCTGGTGCAAGGGAGGGTTGTGGGGGAACCGCGCTCTTACTCCTCCTCTGGACTCCAGTTGCTTCTACACCCACCGCACCCATCTTCGGACACAATGGACGGAGGTATGCCAATTTCTCCGCTCACTTCTCAGTGCGGAGCGGTTGGCACAACACCGCACGGGACGGCCGATGGAGGTGGGCTGGGACTGCGCGAACCGAGAACCCGTAACTGCGAATGGGGATGGCAGCATCTGCTGCCTTCGGGAATAGGTCGTATTTCTCTTCATGACCTCGGTCCTGGGGAAGGGGTCCGGCGTTAGGGGGGTACCCGAGGGGGGGGAGCCTCCCTCCCCCTCCCCTTGCCACCGCACGCTCCCGATACGCGCCAAGATGCTCCCGACATGGATGGAGGTATTAGGCATGGACGGTCTGCTCGCCGAACTGATCGAGCAAGAGATATCGGCGCGCGGGGATTACAAAAGCGCTATCACGGACACTCGCGAACTCTCAGACAACCGACCCCCGATCACCTTGGCTGCCCTTCGCACATGGCCACCTCTTATCTCCGTTCTCCGGCCCCTTGCCCACGACCCCGCTGGTACGGGTCCATGGGCGGGCGTGCACATAGCAAAGTACCAAGGCCCGCCCCCCACGACAAATGATCATGCGACGAGTGGCCCTTGCCCATCCTCTGACATGGGTCTGCCAGAACCCCGAGGTCGACTTCAGGCATCCACGGAGGCCACGCGCTACCTGGACCTCTTCGACGCCGCCGGCGAGCCCTGCATCGGCGACCTCCCCCGCATCCTCAGAGATATCAGCGAGCGAAGAACGGTCTAAAATAAACTTTCCGCCGTCGGGGACACCTGCCCCTGGGCGGCTGGAAAGTTTATCCCCCTACGGTGCCACCGTAAGGGACGGCGAAAAAGTTTATTTTATACCGCTCTTCGCCCGTTAAAGATAGACGCAATTGGACAGTGGCCCGGAGCCCGCGCGGGCTCGAGGCCGGCACCTCTCCGATCACGCACCTGCACGGCCGGGCGACCCCTGCGGAGCGACCTTGTGGAGCTCTGCGACCAGCCACGGAGCACTGCAAGAGACGTGCGGCAAGGAACTTTACTCTACATGTGGGCGCCGCTGGCTACGGAGACCATGGCACGGCTTTGCCCGTGCTCCTAAAATGACACCAGAGGAAAGCCCAATCAGTGGGTGGTGTTCGCTGAGGAGATCGACCGGGAGCCCGGGAGCCCAGGAACCCAGAACCCACCGAAATCGGCCCGGAACCAATCACCAGGAACTTGGGAACCGGGAGCCCGGGAACCCAGCCTGCTACCAAAATCGGCAGGATTGGTTTGCCAAATCTGTGAATTTCCGCTAGAACCCACTCATTGCAAGCACTGATTGGGGAACTTTCGCAACCGCAGCGACCGCCACGACAACTCTGCACCTGCTGGTCCCGCACGGCGTTCATCCACGTTGCGGCCCGGCCGCGGAAATCCAGGTCTGAAAGGGCCATGGCTTAATGAAGACGGAATGGAAACCGATATGGACTTGCGTAGAAGACTTGCGCCAACCAGTCAGGCGCGCCTTCCCTGGGCAGTCTGGTCCGTTCCATCGTATGAAGGCTATCGCGGTTCTTAGTTTGTCAACTTGCGGCACCACCTCGCGTCGGGACACGTTCAATTGGCGGCCGACCCTGCTGGGAGGCCTCTCCAGCCTGGCAGTTGTCGTGGACTTTTACGGCCAGGATGAGCTCAGCATCTACGGTGCTCTCAAAAGCTGGCTCTTCCTGGATTGATTCGCTGGAACGGGCCGCGGCGTAGCCTCGGCAGCAAGGACCCAGCGCAGCGGCTCGATTTCGCGGGCTTTTCGACGAGAGCCACGTCGCGGACTTGGAGTTGCATTTGTACGTGGACCATCTCAAGAACAAGGACCCATTGAGCAGGACACTAATCGGACGACGCGCGCTGTATACAGACCGCGCGACCATGGTGGTAGATATGGGCTCACCGACAGCGATTGAGGCCATGCGGGATTGGACGAAAGAAGTGGCGCTCGTCTCGGCACGCCGGGGATTAATCAGGACGGCGTGGTCAGCAGAGCACTGGACCCATGAACAGTCCGACGAGCATTAAGTCGGGCGTGTCCATCTACAGGAGGAATATTCAAAACAATTGTCAAGAAATCGTACGGGGACGATCTTCTATCATGCTGCGAGTATGCTTGAGCATTTGTAGGGTGTTGTAGTTGTTCTTCCAAAATCCGCGTGTCGGGGGGGCATGCCCGACCTAAGACGAGCAAATTGCCACACCACTCGGTGCCATCATGCGGGCGCGGCATCGCCCCACGACCTTGGGCGGCCGCGCGCGGGCGAAGCCGCTGACCCTCCCCGCAGCCTGGCGACACGCAGCGGGACGAGCACCCCCTGCGCCCGCCACGCCTCCAGAGGCACGCCGCACCTCCCTGTCCACCACCATTAAGTCGGCCACGCCCTTCTACAGGAGGAACCTTCAAAGATAGCAGCAAAAATAGTAGGGGGACGATTGTTCGAGCGTTTTTTGCTATGTTTGTATATGATGTCTTTTGCCTATGTTCAGGATTTCTCCCCAAATCCGCCTTTAGGAGGACATGCCCGACCTAACACTACCATCGTTTTCTCCGACTCCCCTTCAGGCCACTCCGACTCCCTTCCAAGCCGCCGGGAGGCAGGTCTCCACGCTCGCCTGCAGACCCCGGGACGCGGCCAGAGGGAGGGGGGGCTCCTACCACGCCGGGAACGCAGCGAGGACACGAGCACCGCCTCGCGGCCAAGTGCGGGACCACCAGCGATTTCTCGGCCACGCGCAGAGGCCGTACCACCCCTGAGAGGCCCGATGGGGTTATTCGAAGGGGTCCCCCGACGTGGGGGGCGCGGGAACTTAAGTCCTTGGGCAACGGGGCCTCCGTTGCTTGAGGCCGGCGGCCAAGTGGGGGTGGTGCCGGTGGCCGTGTTTCGGGGTGGCATCTCGAGGCACTTCGCAACGGCGGCGCAGATAACGCCTGGGGCGGTCCGTGCCGCCGTTCGTGTTGCGAGGTCCGATTGCATGTGAATTCATGCAGGCACCTTGGGCACCTCCCTTCGGGTTGTGTCGCCCAGGTGTTCTGTCCGGGCACTTCAGGGCGTGTCCCTCTACAGGGGGAATATCAAAAATAGTCAAAAATAGTCCGGGGACCATTTGTTGAGCATGTTTGTTAATTTGTTTTGCGTATGTTTTGGCGATTTTCATTCTTCGTCCAAAATCCCCTGTAGGGGGACAGGCCCGACCTAAGGGTAGGGGGAGGGGGGGAGGCGTCTTAGAAACAACCCTGCTTCTTAGAAGGCGCGGGCCTTGCATGCAGATGTAAGGCCGGCGCCTTCTAAGGAGCAGCCTCCTTCTAAGACGCCTACCCCCTCCCCCTACCCCCCTTTGCGCGCCGCCAGATTTCCATCAACTCTATCACCACGTTCGCAGCACCAGCATGGAGATCGACCGTATGCCGCGTTTGGTCGATACCGAGAACCTGCATCACTACGCCCCTCTGGTTCCCCCAGTTCCCCCCATATTCAGTTGCCCCGTTCCCGTCGCCCTCCCTCGGGGCGGCCATGGACGGCGCGCTCGGGACCTGTTGAGGCCGCCGCTGCGCCTCTGTATTCGTGCGGTTCTCTCATCCCACTTGCATGGGCCCTCCCACTCCCCTCGCCACCCTTCCGCTATCCCACATCCTCCCCACTGTCACCCTCCTCTCCTGATCCCCCCCCAAGCCCCCAACAACGCAAGTTACAACTGCACCTTCAACCGACCCACCCGTTTCCTCAGATCACTTTTGGGGAAACCGACCGCTTGCAGACGTGATCGATGTGGGATCGATGGTTCCAACATTCGTACCATTTTCGTTTGGACGCAGATTTTTCAGACATGACGATGCTTTTGGGGGCGCCTGCCGTTTTGTACCGCTTTGTGGCACCGACGCGCCCAAGGCCCTACACAGTGAAGGACTGGGGCCGCACACGCGCCTGCTTCCAATCCTCGGTGCATGCTTGATTGATGCAGGCGCAAGCGCCACCAGCCGAGCACCGAGTCCGCCACAAACGCCAACGCCGACGCTGGTACTTCAACTCACCCGACCACGCCCACATCACTAGCCGATTTCCGGTTCGGCAACGCACGGAAAATTTGCACGGCTGGGCAGTTTTCCACCACCTCCAGCAGCTGAACGCGCTGGTGTCTCCTCGAGCGCAATCGGCAACATGCAGCACCATGGGGAACAGATGGACCACAGCCCGTCGCTTTCAACGACGCGGACCGCGCCTATTCTGAAGGAGGCTGCACACCCAGGACGCAATCGAGCACTACGCGAAGTGCCCGGTGGTGAAACGACTTGCCGCGCAGTTTCTGCACCTCGACTCGCGCCACTTCGTGAACCTCCGCTCGCTTCTTTTGGTGAACCTTTTGGCCAACTGGAGACGCTCGCGACCGTCGCCCTCCTGATCTATGCGATGAACAGGTGCACTAGATACTAACGATAAGCCCAGACCCCCTTGCCGACGGCAGCCGGTTACGACGCGATGCCACATTGGGTGCGTGAGGGGGTCCGAGGACACGGTCCCTCCACCCGCGTCCTTGCCCGCCGCTGGATTCCGAGCGCCCTCCATCCGCTACCCCGGGCGCCGTGATACCAGCACCATTTCGGTTGCCAGTTGCCCTCCACCTCCCCGCGCCCACCTCCGCATGTCGGTTCCCCGGCGCAACCGACTCGGCATTCCAGCCTCCTATCTCCAGCAACCGGCGCCCCCCCTCCACCGCAACCCATCGGCCTACCGCCCCCGCCGTCTCAGCACTCCAGCCCCCCACTTCCAGCACCCGTTCCACCACCATCCTTCGACATTCTACTTCCCTGAACTCGGTATCCCAGCTCACAGGGCCAACCTCCGGCATCCAGACCAGAAGCAGCCACCACGACCACGAACAGCCACAATGACCAGCTACAGCCACCACGACCACGACCTGAAACAGCCACCACGACCACGAACAGCCACCACGATCAGAAACAGCCACCACGACCACGAACAGCCACCACGATCAGACACAGCCACCACGAACACGATCAGAAACAGCCACCACGACCAAGACCAGCCACCACGACCAGAAACAGCCACCACGACCACGAACAGCCACCACGACCACGAACAGCCACCATGGTGCGAGGCCGCGGGGGGTATCTCGTGACATACGAGAGTGCAGATTTACTGGCGCCCGGAACCTCTGACATCCCCCATTTGGACGGGAGAGTGCCATTTTGTTGACGCACTCCGGGGCTGTGGCCGTACACGGTTCCGACTCGAATGCCTGACCCGACCTGCCCCCGCCGACCCGCCGCGGGTTCCCGACGCTCGCACCACTCCAGTGCCGACTCCAGCACCGATGCCAGCAGCATCGACTCCGGAAGCGACTCTGGCACCGACATCTGCAGCAACGCGCCCGCATCGATTTTGGCACTGACGCCAGCGGCAACGCCGACTCCGGCACCGACTCCAGCAGCATCGACACCGGCACCAGCTTCAGCATCGACGCCAGCACCATCGACTCTGCTGCAACCTGTTTGCTGCAACAGCCAGCGGACTTACATGATCTGAAGCCAAATGCCGATGGTAACGCTCGCGTCGCCACTAAGTTGGGTCCTCTGGTTTTCTCGAAGGGCCCTCCCTAATGCAATGTTTGAGGCTACCGTCACACAACCTGCCACGCGACCGAATACACATAATCCTAGGATGGAGCGCTCATGAACACAATCTACCGCGCGACCTAATCCACATATTTCCAGGATGAAGCGCTCACCTGCTATCCAACCCGACTGCCAGGCCGAGCGGCTGGAAAGTCCGACTTTTGGTCCCCCCCTACGGCTCGGCTGATTGGCAGGAGAGTTCGACTTCTGGTTGCCAGCGATATCCACGTACTGAGAAGACATGTCATCCTCTGCGATGCATGTTTCCTGACGTCACATACGCCGACCAGCTCACCGACTCCCACACCGACCAGCCCACCGATTCCCTCACGGACCAGCTCACAGCCTCCCGCGCCGACCTGCTCGCCGACTCCCGCGCCGACCAGCTCGCAGACTCCCGCGCCGACCAGCTCCCCGACTCCCGCGCCGACCAGCACTCCGACTCCCGGCCCGAACAGCTCTCCGCCTCTCGCCCCGACCAGCTCGCCGACTCCCGCGCCGACCAGCTCGCCGACTCCCGGGACCGCCGCCGGGCCGACGTCGGTCGACCTCCAGCGCCCACCACAGCTCGGCACCCAGACCTCCGGCATATCCGACCTCCCACGCCCACCGCCCGCCTCCCAGAAGCCAGCGCCCATGCATCTGAGAAGCACCGGTATTCGTGCCATGTTCAGGAGGGGAAAAAACACACAGACACAATTAATCGTCGATCCCCCAGAAAATATGGGAAAATATAAGTGTTGGGCGGGAAGACAAAAACCTAGAAAATATGGGAAAATATGGGGAATTATTTTATTTGTGTGTATTTATTTGTGTGTCCTGGGGCCCCGTCACATGTTCGTTGCGCCTCGAAGCTCTGGACGGCGCAGCGACTAGGACGCCGATCGGTATGGCCGGATGTGTTCAAACATATGTTAGAGGAGTTCCACATCGTTGGCAACGCGCCCGGGGTTCTGACTTTAAGACTCCGGTGATAACCTAGCACCGCAGAACCGGCAACATGTCATCTTGTCGTTTGGTTTGTTGTTCCAACATGCGCACTATCCTACAGAGTTGGGACATCACCTGAGTGTAACGATGCAGGGGATCACTGGTGCGGACAGAATGCACCGCTGGATTTCCTGACCATGAGCCGACGGTCTACACTGCCAGCCCCGCGCCCAGCCCCACAGCCAGCACGTTACCTAGCCCCACGCCCTGCCCCACTTCCGGCCCAGTTCCTCTGACGACCCCACTCCCAACAGCACGCATGCGCGTGCAACGTCACCTCGGTCCAGGGCCAATGAGGACCCGAGGGAGCGGACAAATCCTGCCCCCCCCAAAGATGTTGATGTGCAACGCCACCACCTTTCCGCTTCCCTTCACACATCGACGCCCAGCATCCACCACCCAGCATTCCGACTACCAGCCTCCAGCATGCGACTTCCCATTCCCACCTCGACCTGCCGACCTCCAGCCTCCGCCAGCTCAACACTCCAATTCACGCGGCTCCGACTCCCCTACCGATACCGACTCCACCTCAGCGCTTCTTCTGGCAATACCCAGGTGGAATGGCATCTTGACCGCCAACCTGAGTTAATTTGTTATTCCTGGAATGCGTCAAGGCCCAGGGGCAATTCACGTCAACATACCAGAGCATTTGTTAGTCAAGCATGGCCGCGAGGAAATCGCTGACCAAGAAATGGGCGTTCGTCTGACCATCCATCCGTTTCGTACATGCTAGCCTATCCGCCGTCTCATGGCGCAACCCAGCATTATGGGTGATACAAAAGGGTCCAGCATCCGCATCATTGGCTAATTGTTTAAGACCAAAGGCTGGAAACAGGAAACCAAAAAGTATCATTGGCTATTTTTGATGCGTTGGAGTCTCTGCGATTTCAAGGCGAAGCCAAGCATCGATAGCAGCAGCAGCGGCAGCCACAGCAGCAGCGCGCCAGCTCCGACGCCGTGCGATGAGCTCCACGTCTCGGGGGCAACACCTCGACGGTCACGACGCCAGGTCCACCTAGGACCATCCACTGGCTCCGGTGCTTGACATGACAACACATCCGAGGACTCTCTTGCTTCGCGACCGCGCCAACTCCGACACAGACTCCAACTTCAGCTCCACTCTGCACTACGGGTACCACGAGCAGCGCGACGGACACCAAGAACTTTGTGACCATCACGTGCAGCACGACGTCTACCATGAACAACACGGCGGGTACCACGGGAAGAAGGTGGATACCACGCCTATTGCCATCAACCCCACCATCCGCAACACCGCTATAACCAGGACCATCAGCGCCACGACTCCGACCCCGCATTGGCGTGGCTCTCATTTCCGAATGTCCCCACTGGCTCTTTCGCGCCTACCGCTCCAGCGGCCGGCGCCAGCTCCGACCTCTGCTTCGACTCCTCTTCCAGCGCCAGCTCCGGCTTCGGCCCCACCCCCGACTCCAGCTACAATTCCGGCGTCGACTGCGTCTCCAAGCTCCGACACCAGCTCCAGAACTCAGTGCAAGACCCTGGCGTGGGACGTTGCGCAGCCGGTTTCCTGGACAGACCAGTACCACGGTGCCCGTCACTAGGCGCCCTTCGGCTTCCACCCACACTTGGGACGGCGACCAACACTTGCGCTACATCTACTTGTACCTCTACTTGTACCTCTACTGTCACCTCTACCTCTAACACTACATGTACAACTCGTGAGCCCCCGCCGCATCACCTTTTTGCCCTCCACCTCGTCCTGCCCCTCCTCCTCCTCCCCCTCCCCTCCTCCTCCTCCTCCTACTCCTCCTCCTCCTCCTCCTCCTCCTCCTCCTCCTCCGCTGATGCGCTGAGTTCTGAGCCGCTGAAGGATGCTGCTGTGCTCTCCCGTGGGGCAGGTGATCCACGCTCTTTATACCGCTACAGTGTTTCATCTGTTTGGCCTGCTGTTGCTTGGTCTCCCGTCCCCCTGCTGCTCTGCTTGCCGTGCTTTCCCCTCTTTCCTGCTCTGCTGTCGCCTCTTTCGCTCGCTGCTCTGCTGCCTTCTCCGTGCTGCTCTCGTCTCTTCCTCTTTCCTTTCTGCCTTCCGCTTCCCTCCCCCTGCTTGTGCTGCTGCTGTGCATGCGTTCCGTTGACTATGTGGAACCTCTTTCGTATATCCAGCTATGCACTCCAGGCACTGGGACGTTCACTATGCGATTAGTCTTAGCTCCTGGTACCACGTGGTGCGAACTAGCACGACGCAACACATTGGAAGCTAATACCAACCAATAGGTGGGTTACCCTAAAAAGCTGAGACGAGAAAGCGAGCAAGTGAGTTCCGGCTTGGTTCTGTCAAGGTCTAGCATCTAGCAGCGACTGGGAGGATCTTCTCCCGCACTTTGTCTCCTCCTGCACTTTCTCCTTCCCGCTGTTCTGTCATTCCTTTAACTATTCCTGCTCTGCCTCCTCCTGGTCGCTTCCCCCCTCCTCGTCGCCCCCGCACATCCATCCCACCCGAGAGATCTTCACGAATGAAAGGAGCCTTGAGGGCAACGGTTCCTAGACCTTGGGTTCCCCTCAGGACCTGTGGTACATCTTGGGCAGTTATTGTTGACGCCCCCGGCCCGTTGATGGCCCCCAGGGGGCTGAAAGCGTCGGAAAACACACAGCAACGAAATTTCCCTTGAAGGGTCCTGTCCGTCATGCTGACGCAGAGTGATTTGGGCGAAGCGCCGGGTTGCCCCACAGTCGAGCATCTGATTAAGAAACCTCCTCTCGAAAAGCCGGGCCAACAACCACAGAAACTGGCCCAGTTTTGTTTTTTATGAGGCGTCTAGGACAATGGCCCGTTTTTGTTTGAATGCTATGTTTCTTAATCATGGTGGAAAGGCCGTACGGCCGGTGCCGCCGACCATGAACAACGACGACGACAAAAACGACGATGACGACGACGACGACGACGACGACGACGACGACGACGACGACACCGACACCGACACCGACACCGACGGCGGCGGCGGCGGCGGCGGCGGCGCCGCCGACGACGACGACGAAATGTCTCTTGATCATGCTTTCGGCCGTGTGCGCTCCGGGCTCCCTCCCGCCGTCGCCGGGCGTTCCTCCTCCCCCCCCCCGCGCAATGCGACTTCATCCGCAACTGTTCGCCGAACATATGCCCTTCCGCCAGCGCAGTCACTTCGCCCAGCCTTACGTCGGGCACGTCCCTCTGCAGGAGGAACGTCCCCAAGCCGTTTTTTGTTTTAAAGTGTGGGGGCGAGTGATCTACTATGTTTTACAATGCTGGAGTATGTTTCGCAACTCTTTATTCTTCCTCGAACATCCGCCTGCGGGAGGGCATGCCCGACCCAAGCCCAGCCGCTGAGAAGCAGCAGGCGTGCGCTCGGCGCGGCCACCCCCCCCCGGCAGGGGGCACGCTGCGCCACGCGGTCGCCCTGCTCGTGGGCGACCTGACGAAGGTCCGCCGCCGACCCCGCCCGCCGCGGACGGAATGCCGACGCCGTGGTCCAGGACGGTCGACACGGGTTACAGAAAGAATGGGCACGATTCCCAACAGCAGCTTTTCTTCATTTTGAGCAGGACTCGCTGTTCGCGCCGCCGCGGACGCTGCTCTTTGAAGGCAGAGAGCCGCCTGCCCCACAGCGGCCGCTGTCGGTTTGGGGCAACATCTGTTGTTGGGCATTGTACCATTTTTCCCGTACCCATTTCGGGCGTCCCAAGTGGTGGCCGCGGTCCCCGACCTCCTACTTCCTGCAGAAATCTCGGGGTCGGCCAAGGGGGGTGAGGACCAGGGGTGGGTGGATCTCGTGGCGGGGGCCATGATATCTCCCCAGATTTCATGGCGACGCTTTTTGTTTCAATGCTTCCCTGGCCCCCCCTTGGGCCGCGCACGTGCCGCCGGCCATGATTTGCGCCCCCCCCCCCCCCCCTCTTGGACGCCCCCCTCTTGGCCGCCTCCGAAACTCGAGACGGCGCTCCTTCACTGTGTTCGGCCTCCCGTGGCCGCCTCTGTCGAGCAGTGGCGAATCGTTCTGGCTCGCCTACAGGCCCACCAGCGAGTGCTCTAAGCGCCTTTTCTGGTCTGCGCGAAGTGTTCTGAGAGCATTTCTGGCCGAGATTGTTCTGTTTTAGCTCATCGGGCTTGTGTTCTAAAAACAGTGCTTCCGTTCTTAGAGCATTTTGGGGTTCTAAGACAATTCCGTGGTAGGCCTTTGGGTACGCCGGGACGGTCGGTCGCTGCTCAGTGCTGGGCTCGGGACATCCCAGGGCCGTCAACGAGATGCCTTTGATGATGAGGAGTCTGCCCTCGGGAAGAGGTCGGGACGCCTCAGCCCCCTTTCTGAAACAAATTCGCACCAGAGGTCTAGGATCTAGATCTCCGACGTCGGTTCATTATGGTGTCAGAATCTTGCAATTCTATAGAGAGGTCGTATTCGTCCCCCGCCTGGCGTGGCACGCCCGGGAACCACTCCAGGACCTCTCCGACATTCTCGGGAGGCGTCCGGAAACCTCTGGGCAAGAGCGCCGTGACTCCTCCGCCGGGGACTGCTACAGGTGCCCCTGGGCCAAGGTGCCCCCAGCTCCCCGCTTCATTTTGGAGCCCCCCTGGGGCCCTCTGGGCCTCGCGAGGGGTGCTCTGGACGCCGTGGGGGCCTCCATTGGAAATCCTGGGGGCCTCCCTGGGCCAGGGGCGCTCCTAGCTGGCAGCACCCGCCTGCGCGCCTCCCAGGCCCTCGGAGCCTCCGCCCGCTGTGCGGCGCCGCGCGGTCGACGGCGCTGGGTCACCCCGGAGCTCTGTCAGAGGCGGGGCCCTCGGCCTCCCCAGGCCCTCGCGACTCCGCGAGGGGCTCGCAGCGTGGAGCCCCAGAGGTGGGCGTTTGTTTTTGTTTGTTCCTCCCCGGGATAGCGCTCGTTATGCCCGGGCTAGTTGTGTAAGATCTGGCAGATCAAGTTAAGATCTGGAAGACTAAGTTAAGATCTGGAAGATCAGGTTAACATAATCTACCACAGCCTCCCCACAACTACCAGAACTAGTTGTGCACATCACAGAACCCCCCCACACCATCCGCCCCCGGGTGGCGCTATAACGACGCACCGGGGGGGCGGTGGGGGCCCGGACCCCCCCCCCTCCTCCCTGCAGATGCTGCAGTGCACGCTACTGGCGACTGCTGCGCAGGCGGCGCGGGCGCACCCCGGCGGACGCACGCCGCGGCCGGCCAAGCCCCCCCCCCCCACACACACGGGTTGAGGACCGCTGCGCGGGAAAGAAAGCATCTGTCACAAGGTCTGGACCCCTTTCGTCAGTACTGGCTTTCCTTCCCGAGCCGTTCTTGTTACGGCCCGGGGGCCGATGGCAAGGGCGAGGGTGGCTTTGCTGGGAAGAGTTATGATCAGTCTGGGTGCCCACGGACATGTCTTCGGTTGTCCGCCTTGCCTCCCGCGGATGCGCGGTGACAAAGCCAGCTAGCGCTGGTCGCCGAGTGGCAGAGAAGAGGCAGGGGAATGTGTCGGGGCTGAGGGGGCAGAGGAGGAGCGCAGGGCGGCCCAGCGAGCGGTCAGCACGCAGACTGGGTCCGTGAAGCGTTCGCGGCCGGCCCAGCGCAAGAGCAGGGCCGGGCTGCTGCTCGAGGTCGAGCGGGCGGCCGTCGCGGTTGCGCACCCAGGGGGAGCCGCGGGCGGCCCGAACGCCCCACAGTGCTTTCCGTCGGCCTCCGCCCAGCCATGCCTCCTTGGGCCAGCAGGGCGCCACGGCCGCGGGGGCCAGGCCAGGCCGTGCCGCGAGCGGCACGCGAGCTGCAGGGCCAGCGCCGAGGCATGCTGACTCGGCATACGTAGCTCGGACGTGTGCATGTTGTTCGGCGGGGACCATCGAGGAGCTTGTCGGATCAGTCTGGACGCCCGCGGACATGGCCATGGTCCTCCCCGGGGTAACGACCGTTGCCCCGGAAAGGAAACATACGGTCACCAAACAAAAGGGGCAGGGCCAAGCCGCGCCGTGGCCGCGGCGGGAGCCACAGTGGGGCCGCGCGGCGGTGCCTGCCGCGCAGGAGGCCCAGGCGGCCTCCTCTTCTTCTTCTTCTTCTTCTTCTTCTTCTTCTTCTCGTCCTCGATCTCCTCCTCCTCTTCTCCTCCTCCTCCTCCTCCTCCTCCTGCTCCTCCCACTCCTCCTCCCCCTCTCCCTTCCCCTCCTCCTCCTTCTCCCCCTCCTCCTCCTCCTCCTCCTCCTTCTCCTCCTCCTCCTCCTCCTCCTCCTCCTCCTCCTCCCACTCCACCTCCCCTCCTCCTCCTCCTCCTCCTCCTCCTCCTCCTCCCTCCTCCTCCTCCTCCTCCTCCTCCTCCTCCTCCTCCCCCCCCACTCCACCTCCTCCCCCTCCTCTCCTCCTCCTCCTCCTCCTCTCCTCCTCCTCCTCCTCCTCCTCCTCCTCCTCCTCCTCCTCCTCCTCCTCCTCCTCCTCCTCCTCCTAGGAGCTGCTACGGTTCTCAGCACAGCAGGAACTCCCACCACACCTGCCACACCGTACAACTCATGGGTGGAGGTCACTAACATGCGGGGCGGCAGGCCTTGGCTGGCCTGCAGCACCTACTTTTCATTCCTTCCATCCGCAGGAATCGTCTTCGCCATGGTATTGAGAGGTCTGGCATATAATGTTGAATGGGACGACCACGCCCGTCTGGAGAAGGTACCGACTCTCAAGCCGACCGTCGATATTCTGATGCTCAAAGGATCCGAGCGCGCCGCAATGAAGGACGAGGACGAGACGAAAATGACCTTGCCGAACCACACTTGCGTGGAGTTCGGGTCCCGAAATTCATGGTGGCCAAACCGGTCCTACGGCCTGGCGGTGATGTTCAACGCGGAGATGAAGGGCACTTTGCAGCAGATCTCGTTCCCACCAAGGCCAAGGGGCATCGAAGGGCGGATCGCCATGAATAAATTTCGCATTGGAGCACGTACGATGGCTTTCTTTCTTTTTCCTGATTACCTACCGCCCAAGAGCACTACGCCGTCACGGTTGAGAGAGGAGGTCGATAAATGCCCGACATGGTGCACCGAGTCAGTTGACAAGCTTGGACATCCATATTTCAGTATCATGAGAGGAGATCTGGACGGCTCATTCAGCATCCGAAGAGACGCCACTGGGAGCAAGTACAATCGAGCTGATCGTGCAGTTGGGACAAAAAAACCAGGGATTGAAATAGCAGTGTCACAGAGCGTCCGAGACGCGATCGAGGAGAATCACTTGTTTTTTGCAAGAAGTGTTTGGGATACGGGGCCAACATATTTCAGCGGCGCCGCTAGTAACAAGATCGACCGTGAAACATGGTGCGACAAACTTCGTCAGGCAGACTTTCGCCAAGGTGCAGTTAATGCGTGAAGCTACTTTGCTTGCCGCCGTTTGACACGCAGACTCATTGGCTTCAGCAGCTTCTCTCAGTACACGACTACCGATACATCCCTCATCAGTTACGCGGAGGGCACAGACTACAGCATACAAATCCTTTTCCTTGCCTCAATATGTCAGATGTCCCACAACCACGGACTCACATTGGGAGTGGTAATAGGATCTGAGTCACATCGAGCTCTGCCCATCAAGATCGAGTTCTGCTTTCACTGCCATGGCGAAGTGACAGCCACGACAACTACGGCAAGGATTCTTGCACTCTGAGACTCTTGAGCGCGGTGGCACTGGCACTATAAAATTGCAGCATCACGTTCAATGGTTCACACACGCATGCATGTCGTGTAGCACGGCGCAGTGAGCACGCGATGCGCATACTTGTATACAGAGTGTGCCCTGAGCGTCCACTAAGCATGTAACTACATATATAGTTGCAGGTAGGGAGGGTTGAGCCTAGAGTTTCGCCCTCTCGCTTTGCTCTAACTAGGAGGATGGAGACGGCCTAGGGCCGACGAGGGGCCCAAGGCTACATAGGCCCTCACGGGCTCCCTCAGGTGTCCTTCCGCCTCGCCTAATGACAGAACCAGCAGCAACTCAGGACGCTGACAAGCGCCCAAATTTGCTAGGCTCGTGCACCGTGCCCGAAGTCGAACTGCCGCCGAGGTCGCTCGCTCGCTCGCTCGCTCCTCCTCCTCCTCCCCCTCCCCCTCCTCATCCTCCTTCTCCTCCTCCTCCTCCTCCTCCTCCTCATCTCCTCCTCCTCCTCCTCCTCCTCTCCTCCTCCTCCTCCTGCTCCTGCTCCTCCTCCTCCTCCTCCTCCTCCTCCCTCCTCCTCCTCCTCCTCCTTCCTCCTCCTCCTCCTCCTCCGCCTCCTCCTCCTCCTCCCCCCCCCCTCCTCCTCCTCCTCCTCCTCCTCCTCCTCCTCCTCCTCCTCCTCCTCCTTTTCCTCCTCCTCCTCCTCCTCCTCCTCCTCCTCCTCGCCCTCCTCCTCCTCCTCCTCCTCCTCCCGCGCGGCGGGCGGCGCGGCAGCGAGGCCGCCGCCGCCTCCGCAGCGGCGGTCTCTCCGGCGGCGCGGCGGCGGCCTCGCCGCCTCGGCCAGAGCCAGGCTGTGCCGTAACTATAGCTCATGCTGGGAGAGGCGTACCGGTCGTCTGTGGGTTGTGTTGACGGGTCGGGGCGAGGTGGCCCTGTCGTGATTCGGGTTGGCGTTGCGCGCCAGGGGGTGGCCTGCTAAGCGAAGAAGGCGGGGAAGGTTCTAAGGAGGCAGGTGGCTTCTTGGAAGCCCTCCAGGTTTCTGAGAAGCCTTCTTAGTAGCATGCAGGCGCTACTCAGAAGTCGACTACACGTAAGAGTGACCCTTCGCTTGAGTGGCCTTTGGTGCGGGCTCATCGGGGTCCGTCCGATCGCCGAGCGCGATGCGCTAGCAGCTAACTGCGCGCTTGAATTCGGCCACCTTGAGCCCCACTAAGCCGCGCACCAAGGGTCGCTCTTACCCAGGGTCGCTCTCCTGTGTGGCCGAAGGTAACGCTCCTGCTCTGGAAGAGGCCCCCCCCCGCCTTCTCAGAAGGCCACCCTTATCGCGCCACCCCCCGGCGCGCGCCGCCAGCTGGTGCTGCGGCGCAACCGTGGACACCGCCAGTCGGTCCGACTCGAGAACGCGCGGCCACCTTCGAGGGCGCGCGGCAGCCCACACGGCATCCGACACGGCATCCGACTTCGGCCTGCGAGGCGCCCGCTGGCCGGGGGGGTGGAGGCCGCGCCGCGGCGCACGCGTCCGGGAACGGGGGCCCGGCTCCCAGCGCGCATCCGACCAGAGGCTGCCTCTCGCGGCCGGTCCTCCCCTCCTCTCTTGCCTCGCCTCCGAGCGGCACGGGCCCATGCCCACGCTCCATGCGCGCCTCGATGGGTGGGCCTACAGGCCCCCTCTGAGGGGAAGCGGATACGATACATATCCGGAGCGCGGGCTGCAATTGGACACCACTTGCGGTGAGCCCCCCCCCCCGCGCTCTTGCCTGCACGCAGCTCGCGCTGCCGTGGCCCTGCCCCGTCTGCCTGCCCCGACGGGCCGTGCCCGGTGCCGTCTGTCTGCCCCTGGGCCCTCCCTCCGGCCATGATTTGCACCCCCCCCTCTTGGACACCCCCCTCTTGGCCGCTCCCGACTTGAGACGGGGGTCGCTGCAAACGGGGGTTAGCCAGAGCGCCGGGAGCTTGCGGGACCCTGCAGGGCCAAGGGCGCATTGACCCGGGCTTGGGCGCAAGGTCCTGCAGGATCCTGCACAGGGTTCTTCGCATGGACCCGGGCTTGGGCGCAGGATCTTGCAGGATCCTCCAGGACCTGATCGACCGGGATCTGGACTGATCCGGGTCAGGAGATCCCCGAGGGGGGGTGGCCCGAGTGGGGGGTGAAGAGAAGGGCCCTCCAGGGCTCCTCTTGGAGCCAGCGGGTGCCCTTTTTGGGTCTTTCCCTTCACCCCCCACTCGGGCCCCCCCCCCCATTAGACCACCCGCCCCAGCGGGGCCAGGACCGGGATCTCAGCGGCCCGCTGCAGAGCTCGAGGAACGCTCGGGAACGGCCGCAGCGCCCGGGGCGTCCTCCAGAGCCGCCAGAGATCCCCAACCGCTATCCCAGTCCGATGTTGCACCGGTCCTGGCCTCGTCAGTCTTCGGAGGGCCCAGCAGGGCCTGCGGGGGAGACCGCGGTGCTGGGCGCGCGCTGTCGCCCGGCCCAAGACGCGCAGGTTGCCACGGAGTACACCGACCACCGCACGGCCCTGTTCGCCAAGCTTGGCGACCTGCTGCGCGAGCGGTGCCCCGGGTCGCACAGGAGGAGGGGTGGAGCAAGTTGTCAAACGGCACGCTGAAAGGGGGCCCTCCTCTCAGACGAGCCATTTGCCCCCCGCCCTCCGCCTTCCCGCCGGCCCCCGCCCCCCCCCTTCCGTGGAAAGCCCCAGAGCAACGCGTGCCTCACATCCAAGCCCCCACCCTTGCAGGCCAGCTCCAAATCAGACCCCCTTGAGGTCTCATCTGAAATCCGACCCCCCCCCTCTCTAAGATGAATCCCTGGGTATCAGAAAGCGTGTGCCCTGATTGTTCCCCCTCAGCTTCTGATGGTTGGCAACGTTATTCCTCTCAGTACCATTACTCCTGGGCGGATCGCAGCGCAGCGTCACTTGCCCGTGCCCTTTCGGCCTTGCTTCGGCAGCGTGCAGCCAAGTCTCGCCAAACCGGGTGCCGCCGCGTCCTTTGACCGTCCTGCTGCGGGAGCAGACGCGGCTGCACCGCGTGTCGCCGTGTGCCCTTTGATTCGCCTGGCTTCAGAGCCAGACCTGTCGGATTCGGTGAGCAGCATGCCCCTGGCTCCAATCTTAAGTCGGGCCTGTCCCTCTACAGGAGGAATAGTCAAAAATAGTCAAACATAGCCCGGGGACGTTTTTTTTGTTACTCGAACGTTCGAGCATTTTGAAGATTTTGCTGTTGTTTACTATTTTCAGTTTTTCGCCCAAAATCCCCCTGTAGGGGGACAGGCCCGACCTGACTCCAATCTCGCGCCGCATGGCGGCAGTAAGGGGTGGCAGGTACGAGGTTCACTCCAAGAAGTGGTTCGCCGCGCCGCACCCGGAGGCTTGCCTGGGCGCCCCCGCCCTCGCGCGACACGGACTTGCTGTCCACCTCCTCCTCCTCCTCCTCCTCCTCCTCCTCCTCCTCCTCCTCCTCCTCGCCATCGTTCTGGTCGTCGTCCCTCGTCGTCGAGGACGGGAGGCGGAGGAGGCCGAGGAGGAACAGAGAGGACGAGTGGCCTCGAGGAGGGGAAAGAGGACGACGCTAGCGGCGGCGCCGCAGCAGCAGCGATGTCGCTGAACCCCCCGTCCCCTCCCCACCCGTACCGGTATCCCTCCTGGTCGGCCTCGCTCTCCTCCCTCCTCCCCTCTCCCTGGTCCCTGGGAGTTTCCAGCCACGACAGTTTCAGAGTGTTTTGGAGACCACGGAGTCTTTTCAAGGCCTCCAGATGCCTGGGCGAGAAAGCCCGCAAACACCCAACGCCCTCGATCCTCGAACCTTCGATGCCCTTTCTCCTGTTTCGCCCTCTCCGCTTTGGGAGGTGGCCCTTCCCTGGGGCCGGTTTGTCGTCCCGGATCGGTCGCTGATGAGGGGGCCCAGAAAAACATCCTCCCCTTCCCTCCCTCCCTCACTCCTCGCTCCCTTCCGCCTCTTCTGTTGCTCGCATGTGATCATTTCCGTTCGCCCTTCGTCTTATCTGTTCGCCGAGTCGCGCGTGCTCTTCTCGTCCGCTTGCCCATACTTTGCATTCCCCCGTCCTCGGCGCGCTCGACATTGCCCAGTGTGTTGGGCTGCAGTTCTTCGGAGATTCTGAAGTCAGCATTGGCCTTGATATAAACATGATGCTAGCCGGCCTTCTCCAGTTTACCCCGTTTAATTTGCCGTAGTATTGTTCAGTCCTTGGCTTCATCTGGCGCAATCAGGGGTTCTGACGCTAGACCCAGGCCTTGCAGCGGTTGATCCCTCCTGGGAAGACCTCCAATGAGCTGCCTCCTAAGATGTGTTCCCTCCTTCCCTCCCCCCCCCCCTCTCTCCACCCCGTCCTCATTGCCACTGTCATTGCCGCTGGCTCAGCTCGAAAAACTGGTCACTGCGTCGCCATCCAGACGAGCCGAGGCCGATCTGACGTGGCCAGGTCGAGGATACATCCGTTCTAGAGCGTTCTGGGACGCTCTCAGAGCAGTCGGGGACGCTCTGAGAAAGCTGCGGCGCCCGAGACATCCCCCAGATCCGTCGGACCTCAGAGATTCCCGATGTATCCGTGCCAGATTATATCCTTGTCCTGGCTTCGTCTTAGCCGAAAACGAAGCTCTGGAGAGGCTCTTGCTGTTGTTCCCCTCCCCCCTTGTCGCTACGGCTGGAGCTGCTCGAACAGTTGGCCATGGAAACTCGGTCGTGTTCAGGATGAGCCGAGGCCGACAGCCAACCTAAGTCGGGCATGTCTCTCTACAGGAGGAGTATTCGAGCACAGTTTGAAAATAGTCTGGTGACTTTTTTCGCGCTGTTTTACTTTTCTGGATTTTTTTGTGGACTGCGTTTTACACTGTTCTTCCAAAGTCCCCCCGTGGGAGGACATGCCCAACCCAACTCTACCACCCCCCTCTCCTCTCGGCGGCTCGGAGCTGGGGCCCTCACGGCATGGGGACCTCGGGATACGCAGGGATCCGATCCAAGGGTGGATTTGCACTCTCTGTGGCACCTCGTCCTCGGGGCTCCCTCCGCATCCCATGTTTGAGCCACCGGTCCCTCCTCCACGACGGGCCCCGAAGGCCAGCGCGGAGGCGCGCAGGTCGCGCGCACAGGCCTGCGCGGAGCACCTTCTCATGCCTGCCCGGCTGGCCGAGACCGGTGGCTTCGTGTCGAAGCCTCCTCCTCCTCCTCATCCCTCCTCCCTCCTCCTGCTCCTCCTCCTCCTCCTCCTCCTGCTCCTCCTGCTCCTCCTCCTCCTCCTCCTCCTCCTCCTCCTCCTCCTCCTCCTCTCCTCCTCCTCTCATGCCTGCCCGGCTGGCCGAGAACGGTGGCTTGGTGTCGAAGCCCCCTCCGCAGGAGGGTGATTCTGCAGGGTGCGACCATTCACGACGTCGTTGGGCAGCCAGTTGAATACGCGCATCGGCCCCAGATGCAGGCGAGCATCTGATCAAGAGACCTTCTCATGAAAAGCTGGGCCACCCTTTCTAGGTCCACTCGCCGCGAAGCTGACCCAGTTTCTTGAGCATGCTCGCCCCTCCAGCGTCAAGAACAGAAGTTGACCCGGGCTTGCTGCAAGAAACTGCTGGGAAGCGGGCCCAGGTCTCTCGAATGATTCTTTCGACTGCATTCCCGGCTGCGTGGGCGGTCGGTTTCCCTCTGGCAGCGTTTTCCCGTATTCCTTGGCATACAAGACGGCTCTCGACGCCGTCGGTCGTCGTCGTCGTCGATCGTCGTCGTCGTCGTCGTCTTCGTCGTCGTCAAGTCGTCGTCGTCACGTCGTCGTCGTCGTCGTCGTCGTCGTCATCGTCGTCGTCGCCTTCCCTCCGCACACTGGCTGGACGCTCCGGTTTGGCTCTCGCCCCGTCCCTCCGGGGGCGGGTTGGGGGCAGGAGGGGCGGGAGGGAAGGAGGGAGGGGAGGGAGGGGGGGGATGGAGGGGAGGGGAGGGAGGCAAGCTAGGTGCGCTCGCGTCATATCTGACGTCCTACCCCTCCCTCCCATCCCTTACCATGGCGCTGATTTTCTCTATCCGCGGACGCGTGTCGTAGCGGACCTGTGGCTCCGCGCGCGCGTGCGTAGTGGGTGGTGGTGCACGTGCGTGCGTGCGTGCGTGTGTGCGTGGTTGTGGTGGTGGTGGTGGTGGTGGTGGTGGTGGTGGTGGTGGTGGTGGTGGTGGTGTGTGGTGGTGGTGGTGGTGGTGGTGGTGGCGATGGTGGTGGTTGGTACTGGTGCTGGTGCTGGTGGTGGTTGTGGTGGTGGTGGTGGTGGTGGTGGTGATGGTGGTGGTGGTGGTGGTGGTGGTGGTGGTGCTGGTGGTGGTGGTGTTGGTACTGGTGCTGGTGCTGGTGGTGGTTGTGGTGGTGGTGGTGGTGGTGGTGGTGGTGGTGGCGGTGCGGCGCGGTGGTGGCGGGCGGATGGGCGCGCGAGAAAGAGGCCCGCGCTGGGGCGAGAATGCCATCCTGAACGACGGAGGCCAAACACCGATCCGAAAATGAGGCCCACGCTGCAGCGGGAGCACGATTCGGAACGATTCGGGAGCAGAAATGAGGCCGGCGTCTCAACGAGAGCAGCATTTGGGGAAAAATTGACGCCAGCGCCTCAGCGAGAGTCGTTTCCCGGGATTTTCCGGGCATCCTGTGTGTAAAAAACAGTACGCGGAGGGTGCGCGGCTATCACCCGGTCGCCATCAGGGGAAGGATTCGGGAGCAGAAATGAGGCCGGCGCCTCAACGAGAGCAGCATTTTGGGAAAAAATGACGCCGGCGCGAGAGCAGCATTTTGGGAAAAAATGACGCCGGCGCTTCAGCGTGAGTCGTTTCCCGGGATTATCCGGGCATCTTGTGTGTAAAAAACAGTACGCGGAGGGTGCGCGGCTATCACCCGGACGCCATCAGGGAAGAGGGAGAGTAGATTCATATTGAGTAATTGTGGAGGGAGGGAGGGAGGGGGGGGGGGGGGGGGGGGGGGGGGAGGGAGAGGGAGGGGGAGGGGAGGGGAGGGAGGGGGGGGAGGGAGGGAGGGGGGAGGGAGAGGGAGGGAGGGAGGAGGAGGGAGGGGGGAGGGAGGGGAGGGGAGGAAGGAGGGGAGGGAGGGGAGGGGAGGGAGGGGAGGAGGGAGGGGAGGGAGGGAGGGAGGAGGGGGGGAGGGGGCGGAGGGCCTCGTCGCCACTCGCCCCCCTTCCGGGGCCACGCGTGGCCGCCCCCCCCGACGCGCGCGCGGCGAGGCCACGGCCGAGGACGAGAAGGCGCCCGACTCCGCCTCCTCCTTCCTCCTCCTTCCTCCTCCTCCTCCTTCCTCCTTCCTCCTCCCTCCTCCTCCTCCTGCTCCTCCTCCTCCTCCTCGTCCTTGTCCTCCTCCTCACTCCTCCGCCCCTCTCACACACCCCTTCCCTCCCCCCCCCCCCTATCACAGTTGTCGGCGCCGCGTGGCCGCTTGGGGGCCACAGGGCCGTGCGACGACACCGCGCGACGAGGGGTGGCTCGGGGTGGGCGCGGAAGCTCCGATGGGGGCTCGCGCCGTGGAAGAAGCCGCGGCGTCCAGGGCGCCGGGGCAGGGCGCCCTGGACGCCGTGGCAGGGCCGGGCGCCAGGGCACCCAGATGGTCTGGTACCGGAAATTTTCGGTAGCGATTTCGACGCACCCCGAATTTCGGTAGCGACCGGATCTTCGTTCGAGGGCGTTGAGATAGCGCAGTTCAGAACGCTCTGATACCGGTATTGGGCGCTACATTTCGGTATTTCGGTAGCGACCGATCTCTGCGGAGCGCTACCGGAAATTTTCGGTAGCGGACCATCAGGGCAGGGCAGGGCGCCGGGGCAGGGCGCCGGGGCAGGGCGTCCAGGGCGCCGGGGCAGGGCGCCGGGGCAGGGCGCCGACAGAAGAAGCACGTTTGCTCTGGAAGGTGGCTCGGTGGTCCTTGCCGTTGGCCCCTTGGCCCTGCTCAGCCGAGTGCCTCGGCGTGGCTTCGGGTGAATGTGGTGTCGCTATGTGATAGGAGTTGTCGCATCAGGAGTCGGTTCTGCTGACCCTGTGGGCCCAAGAGCAGATACCCCACCATTTTGCACACGGGTTGTCCATGCGGCACATCATGCCGCGCTCTCTGTCATGTTCATTCGGGTTTCAAGTGCATCTGTAGTGTATCCAGTCGCCCTGCCTCGCGTATCCGACCTTGCGCTCTGTTCCGGGGACGGTATTGGGGGCTGAATGGGGGGGGCGTGGGGCAATTGTCTGCCCAACTCACCGCCAGACCTTTTGTTTCTCGCTTCATTTTCGCCCGGGATGCAACAACAGACGGTCGGACAGTGCAAGGGGAGGCCACCACCAGGGGGATCACAACCGCCTCCTGGAAATCCAGGGTCGAGGAGGAGGAGGGAGAATCGAAGATCGAGGATGTCTGGATGGATGTTTTGAAGGCATCTTTGGTGATCCTTGTTTTTTTTGTTGGGGGAACAGGGAAGTCCCTTGCCTGGAGGACTTGACGCCTCCCCTGCCTCGATGCTGCGGAGAAGGCACCGTCACTGCTTTGCAAGGAGTGGCGATGACGGCACTGTTCAGGAGCCAGAGAACAGTGGAGACCCGTGCCAAAAAACCTTGCTTGCCTCCAGGGTGCCCTGGTTTCATTGGGTTTCGATGGTTTTGCGATGGAAAGCGTGACGTTTTCACACCAAAAATCTATGGACGTCCTGGGGTCTCAGAGTTGGGTTTCTTGTGGAAGGTTTCTTGTGGTCGGGCCCCCACTGCACGAGACAACCGCTGCTTTGCGCGGCGGCGGCCCGACGCGGATTCCAGCCCTGACAGATGTAGCGTCGGAGGGGGGGGGGTCCTCGGCCCTCCCTCTAAGATCAGAACAAGCACGGCGAAAACCGATTGTTTACGTTGCACCTTCGGGGGACCTCGCCTCTCCCCCGAATTGGTGTCTTGTCTTCTGCCCGTGCGGGCTCGATGAGGCTTCGGCGCGGACTTGGCGCGGATCCGACGCGGGTCCGACGTCGATTCGACACGGATCCGACGAGTCCGACGTGGATTCGACACCGATTCGACGCGGATAGTCAGGAGGGAAAGAAACACACAGACACAATTAATCGTCGAGTCCCAGGAAAATATAGGAAAATATGGGAATTGGGCGGGAAGACAAAAACCCAGAAAATATGGGAAAATATGGGGAATCCTTTTATTTGTGTGTATTTATTTGTGTGTCCCAGGGCCCCTTCAGATAGGGCCGAGCCCCGAGGATGCAGCATCATAAACCGACCTTCGGAGGTCCGCGCGGCTGACTCAATGTGTCGGCGCAGGACGCAGGACATCACCACCCACCAAACCACCCCAACCCAACCCGAAGGCTCAGATTTACCCTCGATTTCCAGTGGGGGGGGGGTCGGGAAACATCGAAAAAACACATGTGGAACCCTTACCCCCCCCAACCCGAAATTCGGGTCTTCGGGTTGGGTTGGGGTGGTCTGGTAGGTAGTCAGGACACCCCTGGCGGCGCCTCCAGCGCCGGCCCACGAACTCCGCAGACCTGCGCAGGCTTGCGCGCTCCCGTTGATCCCATCGTGTCTCGGAGGGGGGAGTCCTCTGTCTGAAGCAGTGGCGAAGCGTCCCGGCTCGCCCGTAGGCCCACCGGATCATGTTCTGAGAGCCTTTTATGGTCTGCACGCAATGTCCTCGGACCATTTATGGCCGAGACTGTTTTCTTGTAGCGCAGCGGGTTTATGGTCTGAGAGCATTGTTTTTGTCGTTCGAACACTGCCGGGCTCTAAGGACATGTCGTGGTAGGCCTACAGGAGTGCCGGGACGGTCGGTCCCTGCTCAACCGTTGTTCCCTTCGAAAGCGGAACATACGTTTTGGGAGAAAAGCGGGCTAGAAGAGTAGAGGACCCCGTCTGCTGGCTGCGTCAGATGCTATTATGGCTCATCATCTGCAAGTTGATATCGTACCCGCCCATCCCTTTCATTGAATTCTTTCTTGGATCACCGCTTCCTTGCTTAAATGTGTTGTTTGCCCCCTCGGCCCCCCTGCTGTTGTCTACCATCACGTTCCCACTGTCTGCTTCGCTCTCTTCCCGGCCCCCTTTCCCAAGGACGCATTTGGCCTGAAGCCGCACGAAGCGCTGGAGGGCCTCGTGAAGGACTGGGAACTCTTGCAAAGGAAGAGCTGCTGTATCGAGCATCTTGTGTCTCCCCTTCGCACCGTGGGCCACACAAACTTTTCCCTTGTTCTGTTTACCTTTTCCCATTCGAAGCAATTGGACGTCCCTGGACCCCCACAGCTTGTGTACCCCGGGAACCGTTTTAACCCTTTCTGTAGTGGCGTTCGGCCCGTCGCGCCAGCGTGGGTCGTGGGGGAGATTCCTCTCAGAGGCTTGTCGGGGTCTCTCGGGGGGCCTCTTAGAAGCATCTTGGAGGCTTATTGGAGGCCTCTTGGGAAGCCTCTTGGGACTTCTTGGGGAGCGCTGGGGGATGCTTTGGGCCTCGCGGCCTTCGGGAGATGCAATGGAGGCCTTATGCCGGTCTCGGGGGCCATGTTGCAGAGAAGAGATCTCGCGCCATTCGGTTTCCCCTTTTGGGGTCTCTCGTGGGGCTTTCTTGGCCACTTCTTGTCTTGGGCACATCTTTGGTTTGGGGAGCCAGTGTTGGGGCAATATTTGGAGCTTCGGGAGCCGTCTTGGACGCCCTAGTGGCCATTATATATATATATAGATATATATATATATGCACATCTATACATATATGTGTATATATATATATATATCAGAGATTGGGGATGTGAGATCGCGTTGGAACGGAGACCCCCAACCGTGAAATCGTTCTGTTTCGTTCGTGGTGCGCGTGCGAACGAGGCGAAGCTGCATAAGCGCGCGAGAGGAATAAACCCGTCGTTGCTAGGGCGAAGTCAAGACAAATGATTCTCCCCCGCCCGCCCGTATGGTGGTGGCTCGCGGTGTCCCGCGGTGTCCCGTGGTGTCCGCCACTGCTAGGGCGAAGTTCAGACAAATGATTCTCCCCCCGCCCGCCCGTCCGTCCGTCCGTCCGGCGGCGTCTCGCAGTGTCCCGCGATGTCCCGTGGTGTTTTGTGGTGTCCCGTGGTGTCCCGTTGAGTGGAGAACGGTAGTGAGATCGATAGTGAGATCGGTCGTGAGATCGATACTCAGATCGATAGTGAGATCGATGTGGTGTCCCGTGGTGTCCCAAAAAGTGAGATCGATAGTAAGATCGATAATGAGATCGACAGGTGTCCCGTGGTGTCCCTTTGAGTGAGATCGATAGGGAGATCGATAGGGAGATCGATAGTGAGATCGATAGGGAGATCGATGTGGTACCCCGAGGTGTCCGGTGGTGTCCCAAAAAGTGAGATCGATAGTGAGATCGATAGTGAGATCGGCAGGTGTCCCGTTGTGTCCCGTGGTGTCCCATTGAGTGAGATCGATAGTGAGAATGATAGTGAGATCGATGTGGTGTTCCGTGGTGTCCCGTGGTGTCCTATGGTGTCCCGTTGAGTGAGATCGGAGGTTGGGGGGTGAGATCGTAGTGGAACGGAAGCCCGCAATCGGGAAATCGTTTCGTGTCGTTCGTGTCGTGCGTGCGGGCGAGGCGAAGCTGCGTGGGAGCGCGACACAAATGAACCCGCCACTGCTAGGGCGAAGTCAAGACAAATGATTCTCCCCCGCCCGTCCGTCCGGCGGTGGCTCGCGGTGTCCCGCGGTGTCCCGTAGTGTCCCGTGATGTCCTGTGGTGTCCGCCGTTGCTAGGGCGAAGTCAAGACAAATGATTCTCCCCCTCCCGCCCGTCCGGCGGTGGCTCGCGGTGTCCCGCGGTGTCCCGTGGTGTCCCATGGTTTCCAGTGGTGTCCGCCGTTGCTAGAGCGAAGTCACGACAAATGATTCTCCCCCGCCCGCCCGTCCGTCCGTCCGTCCAGCGGTGTCTCGCGGTGTCCCGTGGTGTCCTGTGATGTCCCGTGGTGTCCCGTGGTGTCTCGTTGAGTGATATCGATAGTGAGATCGATACTGAGATCGATGTGGTGCCCCGAGGTGTCCCGTGGTGTCCCAAAGAGTGAGATTGATAGTTGGATCGACAGGTGTCCCGTGGTGTTCTGTGGTGGCCCGCGGTGTCACGTTGAGTGAGATCGATAGTGTGATCGATACTGAGATCGATACTGAGATCGATGTTGTGCCCCGAGGTGTCCCGTGGTGTCCCAAAAAGTGAGATCGATAGTGAGATTGATGGTGAGATCGACAGGTGTCTCGTGGTGTCCCGCGGTATCCCGTGGTGTCCTGTGGTGTCCCGTGGTGTCCCGTGGTGTCCTAAAAAGTGAGATCGATAGTGAGGTCGATAGTGAGGTCGATAGTGAGATCGATGTGGTGTCGCGAGGTGTCTCGTGGTGTCCCGTGGTGTCCTATGGTGTCCCGTTGATTGACATCGATCGTGAGATCGGTAGTGAGACCGATAGTGAGATCGGGAAGTGTCCCGCGGTGTCCCGTGGTGTCCCGTGGTGTCCCGTTGAGTGAGATCGATAGTGAGATCGATGGTGAGATCGAGAAGTGTCCCGCCGTGGTGTTTGTGATGTCCCGTGGTGTCCCGTTGAGTGAGATCGATAGTGAGATCGATTGATTCAGATGTCGGTGCCCCCCTCTCCCCCCCCACAACCTCTTTATCACCCGACGGGTGGTCGTATAGGTGTACTTTATATATATATATATATATATATATATATATATATATTCTCGTACGCACCTCTCCGAGGGAGTAGAGCTCAGAGGCGATTAATGCGCACGTCGTCCGCGATTTTTCTGGCCGTTTCGCTCGGGACATCCTCGAAATTCTGAAAATCGGTGGCACCCCTCACGCAGATCGTGACGTCAGGGTCCAAAAACACATGGGAGCTTCAACATGTTAACATAAAACCTTCAAACACACATGGTAATTTCAATAATTTTGACCCCGATTCTCAGAGAATGGCGGTTTCGCATGAAAAATCCGCCCAGAATCGAGCCCCAGACCCCTCCTCGGAGCCTCCTGGGGGCCTCCTGGAACCTCCTGGGGCCTCCTGGGGCTTTCTGGACCTTCTGGTACCCCAGACCCCGCCTCGGAGCCTCCTGGAGTTCTCCTGGGCCTGCTGAGGCCGCCTGGGGCCTCCTGGGGCTTCAGAACTACATGCACACACAGAGACACAAATCACGCCCAACACATCACACGCTAGACAAACATAACATACACACACACACACAACACCGACAACACACAAAAAGCACGCACCACACAAAGCACACATCACACACACAACACTCACAATCCTGGGGCCTCCTGGAGCCTCTTCTGGTATCCAAGTCGGGCCTCCTGAGGCTTCCTGGGGGGCCCTGGTACACACATCGCAAGGTGTGGCACCCCCACTTGCGCTCGAGTGCGACTTCGCTATTGCATGTCACTCCTGCTTCAAACGCCCCTTCAGCTTGTTGTATGAGCCTGGGCACACACGTGCCACTTGTATATATATATATACACACACATACATATACATATACATATATTTATATACATGTACACACATGTGTGTATATATATATATATATATATATATATATCGGAGGTGAGGGGTGATATCGAAATAGAACGAAGAGTCCCCCTACCGGGAAATCAGATTCGGTTTCGTGATCGTGCGTGCCGTGCGTGCGGGCCAGGCGAAGCTGCGTGGGCGGGCGAGAAGAAAGTCTCCTGTGGCTGAGGCGCTGCCGGACCAAATGACTCCCTTCCGGAAACCGGTGGCTGGCGGTGTCCCGTCGGTGTCCCGCCTCCGGCTGAGGCGCGGCCGGACCAAATGACTCCCTTCCGGCGTCCGGTGGCCCGCGGTGTCCCGCCGGTGTCCCGCCGGTGTCCCGTCGCTGTCCCGATGATGATGATGATGATGATGATGATGATGATGATGATGATGATGATGATGATGATGATGATGATGATGGTGATGGTGATGATGATGATGATGATGCTGTCGATGAAGATGACGACGATGATGTTGATGAGGATGATGGTGTCCCGGTGATGATGATGTTGACGATGTTGTTGATGATGATAATGATGATGGTGATTGTGATGGTGGTGATGACGACGGTGTCTAGATGATGATGATGATGTTGTTGATGATGATGGCGTCCCGATGATGATGATGATGATGTTGATGACCTTGATGATCTTGATGATGCTGAGATGATGATGAGATCATGACGATGCTGATGATGATGATGGTGTCCCGATGATGATGATGAGAAGGTTGATGATGATGCTGTTGATGAAGATGGTGATGATGAGGGTGTCCCGATGATGATGACGATGACGATGATGGTGTCCCGATGATGGTGATGTGGATGATGATGATGATGATGAGGTGATGATGTTGATGATGGTGGCCCGATGATGGGATGATGATGCTGATGTAAATGATGATGATGGTGACCCGATGATGATGATGGTGACCCGATGATGATGGTGTCCCGATGATGGTGATGATGTTGATGATGACGAGGTTGCTGATGATGATGGGGTTCCGATGATGATGATGTTGATGATGCTGGCCATGATGATGATATGGTGATGATGAGGATGTTCCTATGATGATGGTGCCCCGATGATGAGGATGTTGATCATGATGATGTTGCTGATGATGGTGTCCCGATGATGGTCATGGTGATGATGATGTCGATGATGGTAGTGATGAGGTGATGATGATGATGATGGTGTCCCGATGATGGTTATGATTATGTTGATGATGTTGATGACGTTGATGATGATGTTGTTGATGATGATGATGATGACGTTGATTGTGAGATCGATTGTGATATCGATAGTGAGATTGATAGTGAGACCGAATGAGGGATCGATTGCGAGATCGATAGTGAGATCAATAGTGAGATCGATTGTGGGATCGATAGTCAGATCGATTGTGAGATCGATCGAATGAAATAGATCGAGTGAGATCGATAGTGAGATCGATCGAGTGAAATTGATCGAGCGAGCTCGACCGTGAGATCGATAGTGAGATCGATAGTGAGACCGATCGAGTGAGACGTTGGTTCCTCCCCCCCCGAACCTCCTTATCACCCGAAGGGTGGTCGTATAGGTATATATAGATCTAGTTGTGGGTCCTTGCGTAGTCCCCCGCTCCTGCTAAAATGCATACGCAATCATGTTTTCGGGGGGCCCTTGACCCGTTACTGCTTCGTCAACGTGTTATCTTGCGTTGATGGGGTTGGCCAGGGCCCATGCACACATTCATACGTATTCGCTAGGGGCTTCAGCGAAGCCCCTTCCCGTTCCAGTGATGCTGTTGGTGTGCCTCAGGGTCCAGGACGCGTTTCCCTCAGGACCCGTTTCCCCCGTGCCAGGGTTTTGGGAGGGGCAACAGTCGCAAACGCCGAGGGCGCCCCAAGGGGTCTGCGAATCCCAGGCCTCCGATATCGATGCCTCTTCCGTGTCAGCGTTCTCCCCGTCGGCCTCGCGAGCTCATCGACCGACCAAGCAGAAATTGTTTCGCATATGGGATCCACGGGCTGCAGTAATAGTTAGCCTGGCGAAGGGCTCAACCATATGCAGTTGTGAGTACCGCCGTTGTGAGAAACGCCTTCGGTGGACCTCCCTACGGGGCTACGAAATGCGTAAAGTGAGCGCCGGAATGGGGCGAGGCCGCCATGCGGGCGCTGCCGCTGGGGCTGCCCGCAGGGGGCGCGGAGGTCAGACGAAACGGGCGACATGCTGATGTAAGCCGTTGCGGCTGACAGGCACCGGGAGAAGCGGGAGGGAAAGACAGGCGGGCGCGGCACGCGAACGCAGCCATTGGGGCCTTAGGTGGAGGTCCGTGTGGGACCACGAAACGTGCGAGGGGTGTGCCAAAGTGAGGGGGGTGGCGGCATGCGAACGCAGCCACTTGGGCCTTCGGCGGAGCTTCTCATGGGTCCACGAAATGTGTGAATGGTGAGCCAAAATGACGGAGATGGCGTCATGCGAACGCAGCCTCTAGGGCCTTAGGTGTAACTTCCTATGGGGCCACGAAGCGGATGAGGGGTGGGCCAAATGAGGGGGCTGGCGGCATGCGAACCCAGCCACTGGGGCCGTCCGTGGAGCTCTCTACGGGTCCACGAAGCGTGTGAGGGGTGTGCCAGAGTGAGGGGGGTGGCGGCCTGCGAACGCAGACAGTGGGGCCTTCCGTGGATCTCCACATATGGGGCCACGAAGCGCGCGGGGGGCGTTCCAAAGTGTGAGAGGGGGGGGGGCGGGAGGAGGGAGGAGCGCAGCTGGAGGAACAGGAGGAGGAGGAGGAGGAGGAGAGGAGGGGAGGGACGTGAGGACTGTCTCTCCAAAACGAGGACCCAGCATCACAGACGGGTTGGGGAGATCACAACGTCGGAGGCTAGAGACCTTGATAGTGCGAATGCCTTTGTTACAGTCTCGCTCCCTCTGTCTCTTCCTATCGTTTTTTTTTATCTCTCTCTCTCTCTCTTTCCGTCCCTCCATTCCGCTGTTCATCCATATCTCTCGATCTGTGTGTCCCTATCTCTCGATCTCTCTCACCCGATCTGCTTCTCGGCTCGTCTTAAAAACCATAGCTCTGTTTTCCGTTCCTGGCATTCGCCTGCAAAACGCCCTTCATGTATTTTGAGTGACTCTCTGTTCCCGCTGTCATTTCCGTACTCGCACGACTTTATGAACAGGGGCACGCACGTGTACGATCTGACGTGTGCTCCAATCGCGTGGCTCAAGGCACTAATGCTCTCTCTGTCCCGTCACCAAAGACTTGGGGAACATGACGCATGGCCGGCCGAGCCCCAGGACATCACTAGCATGTACAGGGTGTTATTGAAAAACCTCACAGCAGACACCGTGCGCAAGATCTTCACCAAGGCCCCCTC